TAATGCATTTTTGAAACTTGTAAAATGCACTAATATCGATCTGTTATCATCTCACTAACGACAGATTTATAAAAAAGATATTTTTTAATTGTTTTTTTTTTAAATAGAGCTGAAATGATTAGCTACATGAAGCTCGCCGAGCCCAAAGGAATAAAGAGAGCTGATCATTTAAATCTGCTGCTTCCTGTTCGTCTTCTTTAGCGACAGCAGCATCACCTCATCAATATCAGTGTGCAGAATCGGGGCTTTCTGTGATCGACTGAGTTTCCTATCACCATGTAAAAAAAGGCTTTGTGACTTTCTGAGCTCGTTAAGGACTTACGATTGATTAATCAGAGTGACGATAAAACTTGACTGATGTGTGACTTAGAGCGCTGGCAAAAATATTCAACCCCCCTTAACGGACTCAGATTCATTTGGATTACAGGTAACACTCCGTGGTTTTGGCTGAAACGGCAAAAATGTCGTATCACAATACATTTTCAGCCTTTACACATAAAACTTCATTTCCAGGGTCTCAAAACAGAACAACACACCGTGTCGTTAGTAACCCAGACGAATCTGATGACCTTATAAGATACTGTGTCTGTGAAATTAACTGAACATAAACTACATATTTCTGTGTAGAACAGATAAAATAACAGAGACCCTTTTTAAAGGGTTTACGGTCCCAGCCTGACTGTAAAGGAGCTGAACACTCAGGGAGCAGTGGGTTCGGCTCAGAGATGGAAAATACTGGAAGAAGTGGAGCGTTTTTTTAATTCCCTCACAGAGAGGAATCCACACACACAGTGCCAGCTCAGCAGAGTTCCAGAGAGGATTTCTCCGAGGAAGAGCGCCTGAAATCAAGTCTTAACTCGTCCGCCCGCAACCCCCAATCCCACAATCCCCGGCTTCACAGACGGGCTGGGCTCCCTGCACACGCAAACACAGCCTGCTCATCAGGAGCGATCCTACAGCGCTCTAACCTCTCCCTCTCTCTCTCTCTCTCTCTCTTTCTGTCTGTCTGTCTGTCTGTCTGTCTGTCTGTCTGTCTGTTCAGTGTGATAAACGCAGTGAGAACTGAATGAGCAGAACTGAGAGGCTGCTTTAATTTTGTACACCTTCAGGCTAAACTTACACTGAATAAACACTCCAACACACTCCACACCCTACAGCAACACACACACTCACACACTCCACTCACACACCTCACTCACACACCTCACTCACACACCTCACTCACACACCTCACTCTGAATCACTACAGAACAACCTGTGATTAATTTATAAAATGTGGAGCTGAAATTTCTAGCTACATCTGCAATATCTGTAACTCCACACCTGGTACATTTATACACGTGTTCTGGGAACTTTCTGAAGTTCTAAAGTCTAAAATAAGGAAAATTGTTCTTCAAGCGTTCTTTAGTAAAGAACATGGTTATATATAAAATCATCAATACTCAAAGAACCCTTTACATGCTTAACGGTTCTTCGCATGGTGAAATGGTTCTTCAGATATCATGGAGAATGTGTTTTTGAAAAGGGTTCTGCTATTGTTGCGATATCAGCCTTGTAACAAAGCTCGTTCTATATAGCACCATTTTCAAACAGGTTCTATCAGAACTAACATAATAATATAAAACACATTCTCCGTCAATCTTAAGAACCTTTCACCATGCAAAGAACGCATTAAGCACGTACAGGGTTCTTTGAGTGTTCCTGGTTCTATATGAAACCTTTTTCTTTACTAAAGAACCCCTAAAGAGTGAAACAACAGTGTACCAAAAACTGTCTTACAACTCTGGATCACCCCACAATTTCCAGCTATTAAAATTCTGGATATCTAGTTTTCAAAACTATGAAACGTCTTACAGCGGAACTCAAATCAATCAACAATCAGTAATCGGAAAAATTTATACGACTGTTTAAAAACTCCAGTTTCCAGCTGAATTACGCAATGTTTACTGTCTGTTTGTTTGTTTTTATGGTCTTTGTTTTATCTTTGATCTGTGTGTATTTCTAACAATGCCACCGTCCAGTTATCCCCACCCCCCCCACACCTTCCCGTACCCCCCACCTTCCCGTATCCCCCACCTTGCCTGTTCCTGTTCACATAAAACTGATGTGGCGCTACACACCGTCGAAGGAGAGCTGAGTGGAGGGGTGTAGTGGGAGATACCAGAGGAGAATTTAATCTCATCAGCCAAAAAACTGGATCTGGAGACAGGTTTCAACAAGACAGCAACACCAAACACAGAGTCAGAGCTCCAGACTGGCCTCTAAAGAAGGTGAAGGTCTAATCCATCAACCCTCCGGACTGTTCTGGGAGGATCTGAGCCTCGTAACGCTGGAGGACTGAGGACGGTTTGCTGAGAGGAATAGACTGAAACTGAACCACAACGCTGTAAAAATAATAATAATATACTGTAAGGCTGAGCAATATGCCAAAAATATAACGATACAATTCTTGACTTTCTCACGCTACATGATAAATATCAGAATATTTAGTGTTTCTGATGTTTGTACAAACACATTAATAAAATCAGATATAACAATATCAGATATCAGCTACTAGTATACTATACAGTTACTGTTCGCTGGCTGTTATTATTATTTACAGACTCTGTAATCAGTCTGTTATGATCAAGCAGCACTGACTCATCATATACGCAGAAAACTGTATCGGCATGAAACGTATCACAATAATGATAATATATCGGCACAACACTAATAAACCTTCACTCTCATTAACAGCCTGCACAGCGCATCATTAACACGACGATACGAGTTACGATCCATATTATGAAAATTATGGTGCACATCATGAATGTTTTATAATATTTATAAATATTATGATGCATATCATAAAATATCCCACAATTAACAAATATTTTAACATATTCATGACTATTATGATGTGTACATATACATAATATATATGATAACCAGTTTGATATACATCATGAATATTATTATACACATAATGAGTTATGATGTAAATTATGAATATTATAGCACATATCAAATGTTTTAGCATATTAATAAACACTATGATGCATTATTGCAATATGAATGTTATGTGTTCAGACTAAATGTATCTTCACCATCATCATCATCATCTGTGGTCTCACTTTTTTTTTGAGTTTCACAACATTCACAGCCACAAACTGAGTGAAAGCCTCAGTTTAACATCTGCAGATAAGATATAATTTAGATTCATCATCATGTTCTGGCTAAAACACGTGTTACTGATCCGTCAGCAGAGCCGCACTGCAGAACGCTAAGATCAAATCTTGAAGAAAACATTAAGAAGAAAAAAAACGTGAGCCTCCATTTCCCATCGCTCACTTCCTGTCCACATCTGATTGGCCGCTGGATAACAGAAGCATTTCCTGTTCATGAGGGGCCACTATGACCGCTCAATCTGACCAAACGGACCAAAACAGAGCTGCGTGTTCACGCCTCTCTTTCGCAGATGTGAAGCCGTGTAGAGGAACTGTTTACAGGAAGAGAGAGCGGGGCGCTTTTGTATTTCAGCTTCTATAAAAGGAAATTCTCTATAAGGCTTCCTGCACCGAGAGAAGCTGCTCTGACCCGGCTCCACCACCGGGGAGCGTGCTCCAGAGCCCCAGACCGAACCCGGCCAAAATCAGAGGAGAACGCAGGCCCACCTGGTCTGAAAGAGACCGAAACAGGTGAAGGAAAGACCATCTCTTCTCATAGAACACCATCTGATCTCAAACACCGTGAAACATCATCTCGTAAAACAAAATAAATGACATAAAGGTCCGTCTGATCTTATAGACCCCAATAAAGACAAACTGACACTGAAAAGGTCCATCTCATGTCACAGAAAAACATAAAAACCACAAAAGACAATCAGATCTCAAAAAATACCAACACACACCAAGTGATCTAATAAAACACTGTCTGTTCTCACGGAACCTCCAAAACACCAGGCCTCAAACTCAACCTGCGGACGCTGTTAGATTAAAGAGAATTCTGAAAATAACTGATCTTATTTGACCATTTTATATTTTTAAAACAAACAGCACCACCCAAACCACAAAGACCACAACGACTGACTGTTCTCAGACATTTAGGATGAACACTGGCCTAAAAGTCTGAGATACGGCCCTGTTTTCCCTCCTTACAGCAGAGTACAGTCTGATTAACGACTCAATCAAAAATGCTGAGTTATGTTTGGGTGATACAGCAAAATGTAATATCACAATACTTCAGGACGTTTTTCACGATATACGATTTGTCATGATATTTATTGTTTTCTGACAGCTGATAAGTCAGAACAGACAAAGTAGTGCCAAACACACACTGCGCTGCACAAAAACCCACCTGAAAAGGATTAATTATGCTCTCTTTTTAACTGAATATGCAGTGATTTTTTATCCAGGATATGCTCAGAAAAGGATATTGAAACACACGGTTATGTAATTTATCACGATAACGATAAACATTGCCGCACTGCCCAGCTCTAATTTGAATACATGGATAGACACAGATACAGGAAGCTAACCATACCATATAAATGACATACAGACTTATTCTGAACTCTTTAGCTAACTAAACTCAGAGAGCCAGAATTTCACACTATTACTTATTTAATTACACACTTTATTACAATATTATTGATGCTGGAACCTTTAAGGGTTGTTAAGTGTGTTTCTCTTACAAACAGGATCAAACAGGGTGAAGAGGCAGTAAATACCGAAGCTAAAGTCAGCTTTTGTTCGAATTTCCAGTTCCACCTTAAATGGAGCAGCAGTTATTATAACACCTCAGCGCCAGAATGGAACTGCTGCACCATTTAAGGTGGAACGGAAAATTCGAACAAGAAGCTGGCAAATAGTCCTTTAACCCACTTAACTGCGCTCTCAGTGGATGTACTGTAGCTCACACGGTGACTAACCTGCGTTAGAGCTTTTAAACTGTGTATAAAATCTGTTCACTAAATCCCGCAGAGTTTACTGCTGTTAGCGTTAGCATTAGCATGAACTCACTCAGCAGCAGACACTCCGCAGAAGTCTTCAGGTCTCTCCGCCTCTCCGGGTTTCACAGCCTCGCCGAGCTGAAAACAGAGCTCAGTGAGTGAAATCAGAACCGCGATCTTTCAGATCTGCGCAGATTTTTAACTCTAAAGTGTGTTTTTCTTGTTAAACTCTGCCGCTCAGTCTGCGCTGCGATGGCGGAGCGGAACTAGCGACCCGCCCAGCTTGTCACAGTAAAACCCCCTTTACAGAAACACCTGCTACACCTGTACCGATCCGCCCAACCGCACAGCGCTCAGACGGAGGTTCGAACAGCCGCAAACAGTTTAATTCACAAAGAGTTTTCAGCAAACTACTGCCAAACCTCTGCTAACGGGTCCCGTCCATAGGTTCCGTTGAATCCTGCTGCATGATGGGAGTTGTAGTTCCTGAAGTATCCGGGAGTCGTGGCTGAGGCGCAGCCGAAGAACTACAACTCCCATCAGCACACAGCGCCCAAGACTGACGAAGCCGAGGGCCGGAGTTTTACTTCCATGCAGTAATTCATACGAAGCCCCGGGGGCGAGTTTTTTTAATTAGGCGTGACCACGAATTAACATACGGAGGCCACAAATTAGTACATTGACGCCATGAATTGCTATATTGAGACCACAAATTAATATATTGAGGCCAAAAATGACTATATTTGGACATATGGAACATGGCATGTAAATGAATGTATATGTGGAAATCTGTGCAGACTGTATTCAAAAAAGTAGAGCAGGTTCCCAAATATAGAAGAAAGCTCAGATGTTTATACCGGAATAAGACATGTTTCCCAGTGCATGCTGGGAAGAGGATCATGGAGACAACCTTATCTTTCCTAGACTACAGTGATGTAATCAATAGATACAAGCAGCCTTAAACTGCTAGATTCAGTCTATCACTCACCCTTGAGACTCATCACTGGAGATTCCTCACTGGAGATCTGTACAGAATTCATCACTGGAGATCCCTCACTGGAGAGCCTTACAGAACTCATCACTGGAGACCCTCATAGAACTTATCACTGGAGATTCCTCACTGGAGAGCCTCATAGAACTCATGACTGGAGATCTCTCACTGGAGAGCCTCATAGAACTCATGACTGAAGATTCCTCACTGGAAAGCCTCATAGAACTCATCACTGGAGACCCTTACAAAACTCATTACTGGAGACCCATACAGAACATCACTGGAGACCCTCATAGAACTCATCACTGGAGACCCTTACAGAAGTTGGTTGGTCCTCTGTAGCCGTGCGGTGGAGAACTCGTTGGCTGGTTCTTATTTACAGTGCGCTCTCCAGCCGTCTTATCTCACATCTATGTTCTCTGTAAATAACGGTGTTCATCAGATTCGCCTGCCAGGTTCTGAGAGTTTTTACTGAACTGGGAAAATCTGCTTTTAGCTTTAGCACTAGCAAACTGGAGTCTCTAAAGCTCCACCCACTGGGGTCACTCCACCATTTTAAACTTTAAATCTCTAAGCACCTCCACTCAGCCTGACGCCGTTTGATCTTATTTCCTTTCTGATCTATTCTACTTTATTTTTCTGTTTTATTTGATGTTAATTATTTTACTGTTTCATTTTATTTTACTGTTATTAAATAAATTGATTTCTAAGTTCTATTTTATTTTTTCTTATTGTTTGTCTTATTTGGTTCTTTTACTTTTAATTTGTTTTCATTATATATTTATTGTTATTTTATGCTTTTTTCTTATTTAAGCTAAATGAAATAAATGTTATTATGACTTTTTTTCTTCTCTGTTTAACTTGCTTGGCTACCTTGTGAATGAGGATCACTCTCAATGTACTTCTGAGTCAAAATAAAGGTTGATTGATTTATAGTTTTGGGAAGATTTTGGCCTTAAACGTCATTCATGGTGGAGGGATACATGCAGGGCGCTGTGAGGCAAAATAGTCCCCAAAGAAATTATTATTTCAGATTTTCCACTATTTTCCATCATTAACATTATAAATACTGTGATATATATTGTGTATTGTTATGTTAAATATTTGCCATATCTCTGTCTGACAGAATGAAATGGTGTTTTTGTCTTTTTTAACCCGTTAATGTTCATATCTGGAATTTTATATCTGCATCAGTCTGTATGTTCTCTGAGCTCTGAGCGCAAACCTGAACAAACTTGTCAGACTGTTAGAAATTAAATGAAATGACTAAGAAATGAGATTTCATCACTTAAATTAACACTGAAACAACAGAGCACAACTAAAAGAATCTATATTTAATAGTAAAGATTAGATATAATTAAAAAATTAATCAAACGTGCTGATAGACTTTCAAGATCAGATGATCACAGTGAAGATTAAAGATATTACAATAAAACGAAACAATCCACAATCATCTAAACAGAATCTTTATTTATAAAAAGCTATTTTAAAAGTGAGAGGCAGATGCTTCTCCTCACTGCAGTGATACACAGTTCAGTAAAAATGACTCTTTGGTGAAGCTGAATTACAGAGAGATCAAAGTGAGCTGAGTGTCTGATTGAGCTTTGGATCAGAGCAGCTGATAAACTGCAGTGATAAAGCATCTTTACTTCTTCTTCATTTCCTGAACACATCGAGGACAGAACCTGAGGATCGAGACAAACACACACACAAATGATAATACTACTACTAATAATAATGCAGTAATATTAATATTCAGAGAGTTAAATAACGCAGTATTAATAATGAAACAGGTTTAAAGTGATGCAGTGAGAATCTCACCATTTCCCCTTCGGTTTAGTCGTAAGATCAACACAGGCAAAGTGAAACCATTCAATAGGACACTGTTAAAAACAATGAGGGCGATTAATGTTTCCCATAATCCTTCATTTTGTTTTTCTTTATTCTGGGACCCATTTTTCAGAAACTGCTTTATTCTAAAACTGTTTTTTTGTCTTGCTGCAGAGAGTAAAAACTGAACAGACATTAGAGAAAATGTACCTTTTTACTGAGTAATTAATCAGCCAGTGTGCGACTCTTAGAGTTTTAGAGGTGTAATTTCTCTTGGCTGCTGTGATAAAGACTCTCTGCTCTGACTGAAACATCTACACAGTGTCACTGCAGGAGAACCAGGAGTTCCTTTAAATGATCATCTCAAGTTTATATTGATTTTCTTCCTGCTGGAACTTTGTGTATAAATACACTCTGTACATGCAGAATGTAAACTGAACGTAAATGTAATTGATTATATAACTCACTGTATAATTAAATATGTAATTATATTTAAATTGTATACCGACAGAGTTAATAACTCTGTAAAGGGTTGAGTGAGTGTGTGAGCTTATGAACTGTTATAGATTATTAACTGAATGTGTGATAAATGTACGTATTGAGTCAAATCAGATTCAGAGCAGCTCTGCTTACATCAGCATTGTCACAGCCAATCATCTCTCCGTATGAGACCTGACTGCACAGGCAGTAGGTGGGCTCATTAGGGTCCACCGGCATGTCCAGAACGTCTGAGGGGTGCATGGCCAGGAGAGCATCACTGAGGATCACCATCAGAGAGACAGACACATTTTACATTACATCTGCACAAATAAATCACTCGGTACTGTATTAATATTAATACAACCCAAATAGCACATTAAAATAAACACAACCCAAACAAATAACACGATAATATAAACACAATCCATATAAATAACACATCAGTATAAACACAATCTATATAAATAATACATTATTATAAATACAATGAGAGTCAAATAAATAACACATTAACATAAATATAAATCATTTAAAACAGCAACCTTCACAGAGAGGCACAAATAAATAACTCAGTACTGTATTAATATTAATATAACCCCATACAAATAACGCAGTAATATATACACAATATAACACAATATACACAATCCATACAAATAACACATTTAAATAAATACAAAATCATACAAATAACACATTTAAATAAATACAAAATCATATAAATTAACACATTAAAACAGCACTGAAGTTTATATTAAACCATCACAGACAGTCAGACAGACAGACAGACACTCAGCTAGTTACAGTCAGTCAGACAGACAGACACCCAAGTCAGTCAATCAGACAGACAGATAGACAGACACTCAGTCAGACAGACAGGTACGTGTACAGATGGATTAATTGACGAGATTCTAACGTCTCAGTGCAGAACCTTCAGTGTGACTGCAGATGTTAGTTTATTCTTTAGAATTTTGAGTTTCTCCTGACTGTACCTGCCCTTCTGTGCCGTCTGTTTAGGAGACTCGTGATTGGATGTTTTCTGGCTCCGCCCACTGCACCTCCTCTTCTCTCTGACGCTTTTATCTTCTGTAAAGAGGAAATTTCCTTCAGAAGGTCTGAAGCACAGAGACTCACTTCATCACTGAGAGCAGCGACACTGCAGCTCCCCCTGCTGTCAGACGCATCCAACTACAACTGCTAACAAATTATATTAATATTATTAAAATTAAAGAATTTAAAAATGATTTTGAGCACAGCATATGCACACGTGCCTGAAGGCTCACTGTCCATTTTATCAGCTCCTCTGACCATACAGTTTCTCTCTGTAGTTCTACAGTTACAGACTGTAGTCCATCTGTTCCTCTGCATACTTTGTTAGCCCCCTTTTACCCTGTTCTTCAGTGGTCACCATTCTTCACTGATGTGATAGTATGTGCTAAGCTGGTGCGAGTGGATCAGACACAGCAGTGCTGCTGGAGTTTTTAAACACCTCAGTGTCGCTGCTGGACTGAGAACCAAAAACATCCAGCCAACAGTGTCCTGTGGGCAGCGTCCTGTGACCACTGATGAAGGACTAGAGGATGACCAACACAAACTGTGCAGCAGCAGGTGAGCTATCGTCTCTGACTTTACATCTACAAGGTGGACTAACAAGGTAGGAGTGTCTAATAGAGTGGACAGTGAGTGGACACAGTGTTTAAAAACTCCAGCAGCACCGCTGTGTCTGATCCACTCAGACCAGCACAACACACACTAACACACCACCACCACGTCAGTGTTACTGCAGTGCTGAGAATGATCCACCACTCAAATAGTACCTGCTCTGTGAGGGTCCATGGGGGTCCTGACCACTGAAGAACAGGGTAACAAAGCATGCAGAGAAACAGATGGACGACAGTCTGTAACTGTAGATCTACAGACTGAAACTATACGGTCAGTGGAGCTAAAAAATGGACAGTGAGTGTAGAAACAAGCTACTTTATTTCTTCATGTGGAGTTTTTGGTTTTCTGTATTAATCAGTGCTGTTCAGATTTCTGCATATTTCTCAGATGAGAACCTTTCAGAGTGAGTTTATCTTACTTCTGCTTTTCTTTTCATCCGAACTCTCCTGACCGCTGGAGTCCAGTTTGTCCTTCAGCTCACTCTCGAAGCGCGCCAGTTCAGCATCCAGCCGCCGAATGTGTTTATCCACCTGCGTACATGAGCGTTAATGTCACAGGACAAGAAAAACAACAACAAAAACAACAACAACAGAAACAGCGTCACACTCACCATCTCGTATATCTGCATCGCCAGCTGCACTTTATCGTCACTGAACTCTCTGCACTTGTTGTAGGCGTTTTCAATCCTCTTCAGGTGATCTACTCGCTCCTCAGATGACAGGTCCCTCACGTTCGCAGTGTATTCAGCCGCGAGATTATCGATCTCCGCTTTCTTCCCTGCAACGGCAAACAAAAACAAGGAAAATATTAAAGGGAAGCCTGACTGTTTAGACTTACAGGCCCCAGTATGTCCATTCAAATATACTGTATTAACCAAGCAAAATACTGTATTTATTATTAACAATAGACCAAACCCTTTTACCTGTAGGCTATATCCTTCAGCCTTTCCAGCTTTAGCTAGAACTTGACTTTACTGAGAAGAAACACTTTCTGACTGTCTTATTTTCCCAATGCAAACATATGACATCATCACAGTGCGACAGTGGTGGCCAAATAGTGAAGGACTTTTGCCTGTTTGTCTTTTTTTTATAATAAATAAAACATTCCAGTTTGGTTTACACGTCATATTTTAACAGTGTTGGACATGTAAACTGTTTTAGACGTACAAGTCTTAATCTAGAAGCTGCCCAGTGATGCTGTTTTGCTTTGCGTGTCTCTGGTCACTCTGCTGTGCTGCTGCGGTTTGTTTATTTATTTGAGTGTGTAGCTGAATATTATTAACTGACCACGCAAAACCGAAAGTACCTTCAATCCTGCCGTCCAGGTCAGTCATTAAAGAGAAGTTTCTCTGCAGTTCGAAGGGAAGACCCTCGATACCTGAGGAGTTAGAGAAAAGATCTCATACATCAGGTGTTATTAACTTTGAACCGTCAATTCAGAGCGGTTTGGTGTGAAATGGTTCAGATGTCTTTACAGTGGTGGTGATAGGAACCAGGGGTCGCCATGACTACAACACAAATATAGACATTTTATTTACTATCCAGAACCACCAGTGAACCTACACGAGTCTTCTGAGTTTATATGGAATGTTGATGATGGAAAATAGTGGAAAATCTGAAATAATAAGTTTTCTTTGGGGACTATTTTGCCTCACAGCGCCCGGCATGTATCCCTCCACCATGAATGGAGTTTAAGATCTCTAAACTATCATAAAACAGTGTCTCAGTCATCAGGCAGTGAATTCATAACCATTTCATGTAGGAACTTTCTGTGAGGGAGCTTTTAGAGGTGGACGTCTGGTTCCTATCACCACCACTGTGAACAGTTCTGACTCGGTAAGTTTATCTAGAACAAAGCGTTTCACACCAAACCACCCTGAAACACTCTGTTCACACTCTAAATCTTTAAGTATGTATAAAATATATGTTAATTATGTAGAGATCCCTTTTAAGTTTAAGTTTATCTAGAACAGAGTGTTTCACACCAAACCACTCTGAACGACTTTGTTCACATCTTAACCAGTTAATCATATAGGAATTTTGGGAAATGGGTGGAATTCCCTTTAAGCCCTATATACATATACACTGATCAGGCATAACATTCTGACCACCTCCTTGTTTCTATGCTTATTGTCCATTTTATCAGCTCCACTTACTATATAGGGTCACTCTGTAGTTCTACAGTTACAGACTGTAGTCCATCTGTTTCTCTGCATACTTTGTTAGCCCCCTTTTACCCTGTTCTTCAGTGGTCAGGACCCCCATGGACCCTCACAGAGCAGGTACTATTTGGCTGGTGGATCATTCTCACTGACGTGGTGGTGGTGTGTTAGTGTGTGTTGTGCTGGTCTGAGTGGATCAGACACAGCAGTGCCGTTGGAGTTTTAAACACCTCAGTGTCACTGCTGGACCGAGAATAGTCCACCAACCAAAAATATCCAGCCAACAGCGTCCTGTGGGCAGCGTCCTGTGAGCACTGATGAAGGACTAGAGGATGACCAACACAAACTGTGCAGCAGCAGATGAGCTATCGTCTCTGACTTTACATCTACAAAGTGGACTGACAAGGTAGGAGTGTCTAATAGAGTGGACAGTGAGTGGACACAGTGTTTAAAACTCCAGTCAGTGTTACTGCAGTGCTGAGAATGACCCACCACCCAAATAGTACCTCCTCTGTGAGGGTCCATGGGGGTCCTGACCACTGAAGAACAGGGTAAAAGGGGGCTAACAAAGTATCAGAGAAACAGATGGACTACAGTCTGTAACTGTAGAACTACAAAGTGCACCTATATAGTAAGAGGAGCTGATAAAATGGACAAAGAGTGTAGAAACAAGGAGGTGGTCAGAATGTTATGCCTGACCAGTGTGTAACTTATAGAGAGAGAAAACAGAAAACAAAGTGTGATTTTACCAGTAAAAGCATAAAAGCCATTATGTAACATTAGTATAAACACAAATAAGTAAACAGTCAGAACAACGAGCTGTTGTTCAGGGTGTTGGTCACCCTGCTGAAAAAGGACCATTAGAAACCACTAGGATTAAAAGTTAATGGTTTTGCTTTTTAATGAGATTTTAATGGTTTGACCATTAGTTTCCTGTAAAACACCTTTAGATCAGAGGCCTTTAGACCTTTAAATGCCTTTAGAATCAGCCACTGGTCACCTGTTAAACCATTAGGGCCCTTTACACTGTGATATCAACCCATTAAAAAGCCAAAACACATTACAAAACCATCAGGAACCAGCAGACGCACTTAATGGCTGCTGTGTTTTTCAGCAGGCGGAGGAAGCTGGTGAACTTCAGCCCCGATCAGAGTTTATAATCAGTGTTATCTGTAACTCTCAGTCCAGCAGCGGCTCTGTGCAGCTTTTCGGTTCACTTACTGTCCAGATAATGTTCTAGATACATCGCTGTGGCCATTTCCGTCCGCACTGAGTCTCTCCGTCCGGTCAGCGGTAACTTTCCCCGCGCTGCGTTCAAACGGCTCCAGTTCAGCTGATCAGCACAGCATACTGAGCCCACCAGAACCGGCTATAAACCAGCTATAAACCAGATATAAACCCATCCGCAACGTCTACAGATCAGCGCTGCTACCGCGCTGCACTTCCGCCAAAACTTCGCCCCGCTCAACTCAGCGGCTCCCCCTGCTGTTCTGGAGTTTTATTATTCAATTCATTTTTAGTTCCATTTTGACAAATAATCGTGTGATTCTGTCTGAATGTAACCACATCACTGCTTTACTTTGGCTTCTTAAGAGACTTAATATAAGCAGCGTCTTAGCAAAATATGCAGTAAAATAGAAGAACTTACTGTGACAGCTGTGTTCGTGTGCAGTGGTGCTGTTTGGACAGCAGGTGGAGCAAAAGGACTGCAGTAATAAAGAAAGAGTGCGTTCAATTTACTGATTTTTCCTTCCTTCCTTTCTTTAGCTACACTTTGATATTAGTTTAGAAAATGATTTAAATCCAGCTCAGTGTCAACAACAACACTGTCTACAAAACCATTTTACATCAGGCCTAGTCATTACTTTTTTCTCTCTCCATTGTTTGTAATATTTGTCAACATTTATTTTCTAAAATAAAAGTCTCTGTGCATTTAAAAAATCCCTAAGGAGTAATGAAAGGACAACCAGCCGGTGGCGCAGTTCTGCACCTTTTCTTCCCAGTGAAGAGTCTGTCCCAAACGCACGTCTTTAACCACTGGCACTCTCGAGGACTCTGGCCTCACGGGTTTGTAGTGTTGACGTCACTAAGTGCTGACTTAGAAGAGGCACTGAGGTCTGTTTGGGACACACCCTCGGCGCATGCGCAAACAAAACCGAAAGCAACTTCACCCGAGAGGGAGAGAAGATGACGCACATCATCGTTTGGATTAAACACTGTACGCATATAAATAATTACAAACACTAAAACAGAAATGCTGTATTGTGTGTAGCTAAAAGTGAGAACGTGTTGTATTAAAACAGAACTGTTCTCTGTTTAAACTCAGCGGTGGATCAGACTGGTAGTCTAAGTTAGAAGATGTACGACACTGAAACATCAAAACATCAGAACATCAGAGTGATGAAATGTCTCAGTGTAAACGGGTCTAACTGCTGAAATTTGCTGTAAAACTGGAGTTTAAGCAGGAACAGAAGACTGTGTCGGTTATACTGGACAGTGTCGAATATTCCATGAATAGTTGTTCAACAGTTTGCATGAACAGACAGTTGACAAATTAAAGGAAAAACCTTAATAGATAAGTGGAGAAACATAGTACAGTTAGGTAATTAACATCCCACCAGCTCTGCTGCAGGTCTGACATGCTGAGCAGATAAAGAGTGAAAGGGATGGATGGTAAAAAGAGAAGATGCTTGAAGAGGAGAATCTCTATGATGGAGCTTCAGAACTCCAGCAGTGGAGAAGGAACCTCTGGTCTGAAGTGAGTAGAAGCTTTCTGTCAGTTTGGAAGAGCAACAAAAAAGTATCTCAACCAGAAACCAAATTATGACATTTTAAAAGTCTGAAAAGCCAAAACTGAGAAAAACAGTTGATCATTTAATGATCTGATCATTTAATGGGTGCAGCTCATCAATTTAAGCTAATTAGGCACTCAATCAAAACAAAAGTATTAAAGAATTGTAGCTCATTCACAACACTGTCTGTCTTCCTCTGTATTTGAGAAGCCTAAAAAATGAGGTTTCCTTGAAACAGCGCATCTTACTCTTTAAAAAAAAACATTAACCGTGTTAAACACACCTGCCTTGTGCTCAAACAGAGTAGATGGATCTTATCAGTTCTAGAAGTACATGTGAAGACTTTGATTGGGCAGTCAACACAAAAAATTCAAATATAAGTACTAATTTTTTTCCTGTCGTAGAGCTTAATACCCAGACTTTACCACCACCTGCCAAAGCTATTGACATAGTCACATTCAAATTTCATTATTAGTTATACATGTGTAATTATGTAATTTAAAGCTTAAATAAAAAATAATAAAATAAAAAATAACAGCTCACAGCTGGGATGGGCTCCAGCACCCCACCGCGACCGCGGTTTAGATGATGTGTGTATGTGTGTATACGCACTCACACACACCGACCACACTTTCCTCACTCAGACATTTAGTAGTTTTACTTGCACGTGGATTTATTTAAACGATAACCTGGCGTTTTTCGTTCTTCCTCTTTTACTGTGAAAATGTAAGAAAGTGATAGCAGTGCAGATGTTATTAGTCTAGCCTTCTAACTGGCGCTTCATCTTGCCTACGTCTTTAAAAAGACAAGAAAATTTTGAAAAATCAAATTTATTGATTTATTTATTTTTTAATTTTTGTGTTTCTGCAAAATAGGTATCCGTGACACCTGACAGGTTTCTTAGGTATGTGTAACTTAAACAGTAATTCAAAAACAAATCTCCACAAGGGGGAGCTATTAGCACTTAAGTAGCTTTTTGTGCATCACTGAAAGAAAGAAAACACATGAAGGCACATGAAATAATATTTAGTATTATTATATCAAATAACATAATGGAGAATTTGACTTAAATGTGAAACATTTCTGCAAATTTTAATGTATACTTATTATTTATCTTAACATATTGGAAAAAATCTAACAAAATGTGGCATGTGCATAAGTGTGGGCACACTTTCAGTCAGTAGTGAGTCAGATCCCTTTTTCAATTAATTAATTTTAATTAATATTAATTAATACTAATTTGTCTTGCATGCACGTCATGTAAGAGATGTACCCACAGATTTTCATATTGTTTAATTCTGCAAATGATGAAGGCCATTAAAACTTTCCCAAACTAAATAATCTTTTATTTCTTAGCTCAAGGTTGATTGTGATGTATGTTTTGGATCATTGTCTTGTTGTAATATCCACCCCCTCTTGTCCTTTTTGGTTTGTGGGGACCGTGGGAAATTAGCTTCCAGGTTTTTGTTTATGTTTAGCAGAATTCTTTCTCCCTTCTATCCCCATAATATTTCCTGTGCCACTGGCTGCCACACGATCCCAAAGCCTAATAAATTCATCACCATGCTTAACAGTTAGTAAGATGTTCTTTAATTGAAATGACGCTCCTTTTGTCTTTAAACTTAGGTGTTTCCTTTTCCATTTCTTTTTTTGTTTCCAACATAGTTCTAGCTTACTAAAATGTTGTGTTGCATAATTCTGACATTGACTTTTGTGATTAGATCACAGTTAAGATACTGATCAGTGTTGGGATTAGCATTGTTGCTGCTTATTTATACTGATGAATCCATCATGGCAATCAAAATTAATGGCAGGTCAAGGTTTTAATGACAGATTGAATACATTTGATCTTATGCAGCTCGTGTTAGCCCCCACATACAAACCATCATACTCTAGATCTATTTCTCCTAATGTAGGGTTTTTTACTCCTTTAATATCCTATTTCTTTACATTATTGTCCTTTATTTTTATGTTAAATAACATTTTATCTTTTTTATGTACTCTGTCTTTTTATTTGTTTTCAATATGCTTGTAAAGCACTTTGTAAACGTTTTTAAAACGTTTTTTAAAAGTTATTGTGGTATTATTACTTTTGAATTTATTCTGTTTTTTAAAGAAACAGAAGAGTGACAGAGATTTTGAATAAATATTCCCTTAATCAGTAATCAAATAGATTAGATGTTGTAATCAATAACCAAATAGGTAGTATTGGCTAACAGAGAATTAATTCTCTCACAAAGGGTCGGTCTTTGTCTGCATAGGAGATTCTAGACATTGGAAAGCCCCTGGGTTCACAGAGAGGCCTGTGGGTACTTACTGACCCAGTGAAGAGAGGGGCATGTTGACCTTGATAGGTAAAACAGACTGGTAAAAACCGGTTGAAGCCAGTTTTGAGGAGTGAGCTCATCATGCAATGACCAAATTGATGGATGAAGAGATGCACCTATTAGAGAATGAGCTAATATCAAAATTTGAGAAGTAAGGTGTGGGGATATCAAACTACCCCAGATAAATAGTATAAACTGTTGTTTGGAACACTGTATTTGTGCAGTTGGGTCTCTCTGAGCCACTTGATGCTGAAATAAAGAAGAAGCCTTTTTCCCTCTTCCACAAACTCAGTGTTTGAAGACTCTTTCCTTTTTGACATCTTTTGAGAACTTAGACTTGAAACAGTTATTAGTGTAAGTGTTTAGTCAGTTTTAAAAAATTTATTTTTATTCATAATATTATGTTGGAGGCCTGGGATGGAAGGGGATAGCCTTTGGTCCCGACAAGAGTATGTTACAAATGTCAAACATTGCCTTATTGAGGAACCGAAGTAAAATGTACTGACTTTGAATAAGAAATGTGTTGTTTATGTGTGTGATCTTTCCAGATTCCAGAGAGACAGTGCAATGTCCAGCTGTGTGTCTATGAAGAGCGAGTGGTCCATTGGGAACCCTCCTAATTTCAGCACAGGGGGAGTAGAACCCAGCTGTGTGTCTATGAAGAGTGGTTGGTCCATTGGGAACCCTCCTAATTTCAGCACAGGGAGAGGAGAACCCAGCTGTGTGTTTGTGAAGAGTGATTGGTCCATTGGGAACCCTCCTAATGTCGGAAGTGCAGCGGTGCCTTCTGACCCAGGGTAAGTTATTGTCTTCCAGTGTAACTAGGTAACCGGGAGGTCACGGGTTGAAATCCCACGATTGACTGGGTAAGCCTGGTTGTGCCCTTGTGCCCTTAACCCTCCACTGCCCTGAGCAGTGCTGCTCTGCTGGTGATGCTATGCTGCTCCCAGGGCATGGGTAGGCAGCAAAATGATAAATTTCCCTTGTAGGACCAATAAGGTACCTAATATATCCAATCAACTTCTCTCATTTTCTTTAGAAACTGAGTGCAGTGATATCCAGTCAAAACAATTCTCCTCATTCCTTTTAGAAATCCAGTGCAGTGATATCTAATCAAATCAACTCATCTGATTTCCTTTAAAAATCCAGTGCAATGATATCCAATCAAATCAACTCCTATTGTTGGACTTAACACAGTGCAGGGCAGACCAGTCGCCACCTGGCTCGGTATGGTGCATGCCAGTTAGATATTTTTGTCCGATTTGGGTCGGTGTCACCGGTGTGTCACAATAACATACACTGTTATAATCTCATGGGAGCCCAACGCAAACTGTGTGGAATACAGCATGTGGCCTATCAAAATATGTAGTGTTTGTGGTTATTATTTTATTGGGTAAAATTCAAATTTTTGTTCTTCAAAGAAATGTTATATCTGATATGTGAATGCCGCAAAAGCTGCTGGTAAAATTGTCTGATATTACGGCTGTCTCCTCAGCTCCTCCTTTAACAGCAACCAGTTACTCTTGCCAAGTCGAGGCACAGTTCATTTTGAACAAGCCCATTCTGTTGCTACATTGTGCAACTCAAGTGAAATTTGATGCAAGTAGTTTAATGTAAATTTTAAGCAGCTAAAGCTAGGTAGAGAGGTAGAGAAGTACAATTTTGGCCCAAAGTGAGTTGACTGTGGTGTCAATTCAAGCACGTTCATTCAGACCATCAATTTTGGTAATGATCTGTAGAAAATTAAAGACATCTTAATTTTTTACTTTTCAAAGGAACAATTACTACCTTGTTTTCAAAAACGTTGGGACACTGGGTAAAATGTAAATTAAAAACACAGATCATATAACCCTGTATTTCATTGAAAATAATACAAAAACAACATATTAAATGAAACTGAGAAATGTTATTGTTCATTGAAAAATAGAATTGGAATTTGATGCCAGCAACACGTTTCAAAAAAGTTGGGACGGGGCAACAAAAGACTGATAGAGTTATGTAATGACAGAGTTATGTAATGCTACAAAAAACACGAATAAATTTAATTGGCAACTGTTCAGTAACATGATTAGGTATAAAAAGAGCATCCCAGAGAGGTTGACCCTTTCAGGAGTTAAGATGAGGAGGAGTTTACCACTCTGTGGAAGACAGATGTGGGCAAATAGTGCAACAATTCAAGAATAATGTTTCTCAACATAAAATAGCAAAGAACAAAGAGATTTTATCATCTATTGTACATAATATCATTTAAGATTCAGATAAGCCAGAAATCTCTGTATGTAAGTGACAAGGCCGAAAACCAATATTGGCTAGTCACGATCTTTAGGTCTTCAGGCAGTGCTGCATTAAAAGCTGACATGATTCTGTAAAGGAAATCACTGCATGGGCTCAGAAACACTTTTGACAACCACTGTCTATGAAAACAGTTACTGCATTCACAAATGCAGGTTAAAAACTCTACCATGCAAAGAAGAAATCACATATAAACAGGATCCAGAAACACTGCCTTCTTCTCTGGGCCAAGCTCATTTAAGATGGACTGAGGCGAAGTGGAAAAGTGTCCTGTAGTCCAACGAATCAAAATTGTAAAACATGGACATCGCATCCTCCGGGCTAAAGACCACTCAGCTTGTTGTCAGTGCACAGTTCAAAAGCTAATATTCATAATGGTATGGGGGGCATTAGTACACATGGCATAGGTGACTTGCACATCTGGGAGGGCGCCATTAATGCTGAACAATATATATGTGTTTTGGCAACATATGCTGCAATCCAGACAACGTCTTTTTCAGGTAAGACTTGATCATTTCAGCAAGACAATGTCAAACCACATTCTGCACATATTACAACAGCATTGCTCCGTATTAAAAGAGTCTGGGTGCTAAAATGGCTTGACTGCAGTCCAGACCTGTCACCTACTGAAAACATTTGGCACATTATTAAACACAAAATATGAAAAAGAAAACCCTTAACTGTTGAGCCTGCTGAAATCCTTTATCATGCAAGAACAGGAAAACATTTTACTTTTAAAACTACAGTAGTGTCTCCTCAGTTCCCAAACGCTTACAGAGGTGATGTAACACAGTGGTAAACATGCCCCTGTCCCAATTTTTCAAAACATGTTGCTGGCATCACATTCAAAATGGGCTTTTTAAAAAAAAAAAAAAACAATAAAATTTCTCAGTTTCAACATTTGATAAGTTGTCTCTGTACTATTTTCAATTAAATATAATGATTTACATATCATTGCATTCTGTTTACATTTACATTTTGAAAGTGTCCCAAGTTTTTTGCAAACAGGGTTGTATAAAGGTAACACTGTCATCATTATAGGAATTCCAATTTGTTAGTGAGTTGTGTTGTATGAAGGTACTGTATGTGACGATGCAACAGGATTCAGACGCTTGCGGATTAAAAGCGTACACCAAGCTTTATTCGAGGGCGACAAAGAAGAAGTCAAAAAACATGCGTGGGTCGTAACCAGAAAGCAGTACAAGATCACCGAAGTGATCATAACCAAAACAAACAAATCCAAGGGAGTGATCCGATATCGTAGTCAAAAAACCAGGCCAAACAATCAAAACACGTATCCAAAAACCGTCAGCAAAAGTACAAGAAGGGACAGGCAAAAATCAAGGTCAGAGAGACAAAACGTAGGTCATAACAGGTCGTAGCAAACAGAATAATAGAAACGCTCAGCAAGTTCTAGCAGAAACAATACCTCGCAATGACTAAGGCTAAAGCCCGGGCTTATAAGCTATACTAAGTGGGTCATATGACAATAAACACAGAAGAATGTATTTAGTATTCCGGTGAATGTGAGCGCTGATAGGAGCGTGCACAACCATCTAAAGTCATATGATCTCCCGAGGGGTTGTGGGCAATGTAGTCTGAGTCCTCCTGAGGCGTGACAGTACCCCCCCCCAAAGAGTCCGGGCGGGTCTCGGATCGAGACCTGCCAGGACGACCACCACACGCACCACCGGATCTCCGCACAGGGGCAGAGCCTGAGCTGCCGAGGCGCTGGACCGACGAATCCTTCTGCTGTGAACCTCCTAGACGCGTGGGAAGAGAGCAGGACAGCTGTTTCCTCGGACGACCCCTGGGTCTGGGAGCGGGCTTCTGTGGGTTGCGGCTGTGAAAATCCGCAATCAGAGCCGGGTCCAAAACGTCTTTGGCAGCCACCCAGCATTGTTCTTTTGGACCATACCCCTCCCAGTCCACCAGGTATTGCAGCTGTCCCCCATGTCTCCGGGAGTCCAGCAGCCTACGGACAGCATAAACAGGAGCCCCATCTATCACCTCCGGTGGGGGTGGCACGACGTCTGGCACAGCCTCGTCCAAGGGCCCTGTAATGGCAGGTTTGAGAAGAGAAACATGAAATGACCTCGAGACTCTAAAGCGAGGGGGTAAGTCTAATCTATAGGTGACATCATTGATACGCTTTACTATTTTATATGGCCCAATATATTTGGGTTGGAGTTTCTTACAACTTCCCTCTGAGTGTCGAAAGTCCTTCGTAGCCAGCCATACTCGATCGCCGGGTTGATACACTGGAGTAGGTCCACGGCGATGGTCCGCCTGTTCCTTGTGTCTTTGAAGTACCGCTTCTATTCGCTGGTGAGTTTCTTCCCATATTCGTTCGCTCCTCGTCATCCATTCATCCACGGCGGGGAGGTCCGTCTGTACCCCTGTCCAAGGGGCTAGAGGTGGCTGGTATCCTAAAATACACTGAAATGGGGTCATGCCTGTAACTGAACTGGTTAATGAGTTTTGTGCCATTTCTGCCCAAATCAAATATCTTGCCCAGTCCGAAGGGTTGTCATGAGAGAAAACCCTCAGGAATTTACCCAGTTCTTGGTTTACTCTCTCGCATTGCCCATTAGCTTGCGGGTGATATCCAGAAGTTAAGCTGACAGAAACCCCCAAATGTTCAAAAAACGCTGCCCACACCTGTGACGTGAATTGAGGTCCTCTGTCTGAAACTATGTCTTCGGGGATGCCGAAGTAACGAAACACCTGCTGGAACAATGTCTCGGCTGTTTGAAAGGCACTAGGAATTGTGGGGAATGGAATGAATCGCACACCTCGTGAAAACCTATCCACCACAGTCAAAATGGTGGTAAATCCTAATGATTCTGGCAAGTCAGTCACAAAATCAATAGCTATGTGGGACCAGGGTCAGAGGGGTACCGATGAGTTTGCCCGCCGCATGAGTTTGCCCGCCGGAAGCGCTTTAGGTGTTTTACATTGGGAGCATACTGAACATGACGAAACCATAGAATGAATGTCTTTGCTCATTGATTCCCACCAATATCGTTGTGCAATTAGTTTAAGAGTCCTTGTCTCCCCAGGATGACCCGATGTGAGGGATGAGTGTGCCCAAGTGACGAGTCGCGTGCGAAATTCGACAGGAACATACAGTTTCTCTGGGGGACACTGAGTGGGAATATCTAGTGTGCTATTGGCGCGTTCAATTTCTTCATCTATTTCCCATCTAATCGACGAAATGTTCACTTCAGGCGGCAGAATGCGCTCTGGTCGTTCTGTTTCTGAATGGACCGGCTCTTCTTGATGGATTCGAGACAGGGCATCGGCTTTTGTGTTACGAGACCCAGGCCTATATGTGATACTGAACCTGAATCGGGAAAAGAACAAGGACCAACGGGCTTGGCGTGCATTTAACCTTTTAGCAGTACGGAGGTATTCAAGATTTTTATGGTCTGTGATGACCGAAAAGGGATGATTAGCCCCTTCTAGCCAGTGCCTCCATTCTTCCAAAGCTAGTTTTACTGCCAAGAGCTCCCTATCTCCTATCCCATAATTCTTTTCTGCTGGTGATAACTTATGGGAGTAAAACGCTATGGGATGCAACTTTTGTGGAACGCCCGTTCTCTGTGACAAAACCGCCCCTACTCCAGTCTCCGAGGCATCCACTTCAACTACAAAGGGTTGTTGTGGGTCAGGGTGCTTTAAAATGGGGGCCGAGGTAAATGCTTCCTTGAGGTTTTGGAAAGCCCTTTCTGCTTGCGAATTCCAGACAATTCTCTTTGGGTTTCCTCTTAACAACGACGTAATAGGGGCTGCAATAATGCTGAAATTTCGAATAAATCGGCGGTAGAAGTTTGCGAAACCTAAAAACCGTTGCAATTCTTTTACTGTTTTAGGGACGGGCCATTGTATAACAGCATCCACTTTCTGATCATCCATGACTACACCCTGTTGACTGATAATATAACCTAGGAAAGCCACAGATTGCAAGTGGAACTCACATTTTTCCCCTTTCAGATACAGATTATTTTGCAACAGGCACTGCAGTACAGTTCTAACCTGTTTTACATGGCTTTCAAAATCGCGAGAGTACACCAAGATGTCATCCAAGTAGGCGATGACGTATTGTCCCAACATGTCCCTGAGAACGTCATTAATGAAGGCTTGGAAAACAGAGGGGGCGATAGAGAGCCCGAATGGCATCACCGTATATTCGTAGTGCCCCCTAGTGGTCAAAAATGCAGTCTTCCACTCATCTCCCTCTTTTACTCGAATGAGATTATAGGCGCTTCTCAGATCTAATTTGGTAAAGTATCGAGCCCCTTGAAGTTGTTCTAAGGCCACAGGGACTAAGGGGAGTGGATACGGATAGGCTTTGGAAATCTGGTTAAGGGCCCGATAATCAATACAGGGACGGAGCCCCCCGTCTTTCTTCTTGATAAAGAAGAAACTTGATGCTATGGGTGAAGTGGAGGGTCTAATGAAACCTTGGCTGAGCGCTTCTTGAATATAGACATCAAGAGCCTTTTGTTCTTCTTGAGTTAGAGGATAAATTCTGGCTTTGGGGAAGACAGGATTTTCTACTAAGTCTATTGCACAGTCATATGGCCTATGAGGGGGCAGTCTAGTGGCATTGTATTTGTTAAACACTTCCTTCAAATCAATGTATTCAAGAGGGATTTCGAAGGGGTGTTCGGCATTGGGGCTTTCTACTGAGGTCGAACCGAGGGTAAGGGTAGGAGTATGTATACAAGATTGTAGGCAAAAGTCCGATCATCTAATTATGGAGTGTTCAGACCATGATATGACAGGATTATGTCTCTCAAGCCAGGGGAGTCCTAGAATGAGTTCAAATTCAGAATGTTCCAGAACTAGAAATGACATGTTCTCTAGGTGTAGGGCACTGGTTTGAACTTCTAAAGGATCTGTGACTTTTGAAATCGTGCCCACGCCCACTGGTCCTCCGTCCAATGCCGCCACCTTAAGCTGAGTTTGTAGATTTCTTACTGGAGCTTGTAGTTGTTCAACCACCTTGGCATGGATGAAATTCCCCTCTGCTCCAGAATCGATCAGGGCTGAAACGACAAGAGATCAGAGATGACAGTATATTGTGACAGGTAACATAAAAGATTTCGAAACCAACCCCTTTGTGGGAACACTCACCACATTAGCACGTGGAGTAGACCCCACGTGCTGTCCAGGGGTCGGCGCCTTGCATTTTTGAGGTCGTACATGGCACTCCCGTACTTGGTGGCCAGCTTTCCCACAGTACAAGCAGAGGTTGTTGTCAAAACGACGTTGCCGTTCTTCTTGTGATAGCTGGGAGGAGTCACACTGCATGGGCTCGGCAGTGTCATTGTCTTCCATCCGGAATCTCCGTCTGTTTGGGGCGCTTCGTGGATTGCGATCACTCTTGACTTTGTTTCGATGGTGGATTAGCTGATCAAGCTTTATGGCTAGTGTGATCAGCTGATCCAGTGTTAAGTCATCGTCCTTACTAGCCAATTCACTTAATATGTCCGCATGCAATCCTTGGCGAAACATGACTAAAAGTGCCGCCTCGTTCCAGCCACTGCTTGCAGCTAAGGTTCTAAATTCCAAGGAATAATCAACTACAGATCGATTCCCCTGACGTAAATTCACCAATAACTCCCCGCTCACTTTCCCTTCATAGGGATGGTCAAACACCATCTTGAAGTCTTTCAAGAATTGTTCATATGAGAGACGGTGTATTTGAGCCCAACTAGCTGTAGCCCATTCGAGAGCCTTACCGGCTAAACTCGAAACTATAAAAGCGATTTTTGCTTGATCAGAGCTCGCCGGAGAATTTTCGAAATACACAGAACACTGGAGCAAAAATCCTCGACATTTGTCCGGCTCCCCATCAAATTTATCCGGTTTACTTACGGGAAAGACAACATGCGAGGCAGCAACGGGCATGGTGGGTCCTCTGGAGCTAGCGATGGGTTCAGTAAGAGTCATACTTTGTAGTTGGCCGGTCAAACCTCTTACGCTGGTCACCAATTGAGCCAGTTGAGCCTGCTGTTCCGCCTGTTGATTAGCGATCGACTCCAGAGACTGAGTCACCCCGGATAGGACCTGCTGGTGTCGTCCAAGAAGTTGTCCCTGTTCCGTTAAAGCCTTTTGGAAGGCTTCTGGATCCACCGTCTGCATGCTCGGCGAGGTATTCTGTGACGATGCAACAGGATTCAGACGCTTGCGGATTAAAAGCGTACACCAAGCTTTATTCGAGGGCGACAAAGAAGAAGTCAAAAAACATGCGTGGGTCGTAACCAGAAAGCAGTACAAGATCACCGAAGTGATCATAACCAAAACAAACAAATCCAAGGGAGTGATCCGATATCGTAGTCAAAAAACCAGGCCAAACAATCAAAACACGTATCCAAAAACCGTCAGCAAAAGTACAAGAAGGGACAGGCAAAAATCAAGGTCAGAGAGACAAAACGTAGGTCATAACAGGTCGTAGCAAACAGAATAATAGAAACGCTCAGCAAGTTCTAGCAGAAACAATACCTCGCAATGACTAAGACTAAAGCCCGGGCTTATAAGCTATACTATGTGGGTCATATGACAATAAACACAGGAGAATGTATTTAGTATTCCGGTGAATGTGAGCGCTGATAGGAGCGTGCACAACCATCTAAAGTCATATGATCTCCCGAGGGGTTGTGGGCAATGTAGTCTGAGTCCTCCTGAGGCGTGACACTGTATCTATGATATATTTTGGCAAGTTAGTTATCGAGACTACCCAGCAGAAACTGAATGCATGTATGCTCAGCTCAACTTCAACACATTCTGTTTCATAAAAAAATGTTATGTTTGATGATGTTTGTGTTATTCTGTTGAACCCCATTAGGAAGTGTTTCACAAAAGAAGCACTGCAGATAAACCTTTTGGCAGAAGGAACAGGTGAGCGACAGCAGGATTCTTACCAACCAGCTGGTGATGTCCCACACAGAGTGTTAGAAAAATACAAAACTAGCATGAAGAACAAGTACGAAAGCTTATTTGAGGGAATCAGAACAGAAGAGAACAAAACCCTCCTGAACAGGATTTACACCCAGCTCTATATCATAGAGGGAGGGAGTGAAGGAGTGAATAAGGAACATGAGGTTCTACAGATGGAGAAAACATCCAGGAAACAACTACATGACACTCCAATCAACTGCTCAGATATCTTTAAATCTGGACAAGGTCTTAAAAGAGAAACGGAAGAAGAAAATGTCAGAGCTGTGACAGCAAAAGATTTCAGACACAAAGCAAGAAAAGAAGACAAAGAACTAGGAGTGCAGAACCTCAGAGCTGTTCTGACTAAAGGCATCGCTGGAATTGGAAAAACTGTCTCTGTGCAGAAGTTCATTCTGGACTGGGCTGAAGGAAAAGCCAATCAGGATGTAGATTTCATGTTTGTGCTTCCGTTCCGAGAGCTGAATTTGATTAAAGATGATAAATACAGTCTTCATGGACTTCTGTGTGACTTCCATCCTGAGCTCAAAGATCTGGACCCAGAGATTTATGATCAGATCAAAGCTGTGTTTATATTTGATGGTCTGGATGAAAACAGAATTCCACTGAACTTTTCAGAGGGTGAGAAAATATCTGATGTAACTATGAAATCGTCAGTGGGTGTGTTGATGACAAACCTCATCAAAGGAGAGCTGCTTCCTTCTGCTCTAATCTGGATAACCTCCCGACCAGCAGCTGCCAATCAGATCCCTCCTACATACATCAACCGTGTGACAGAGATTCAGGGATTCAGTGAGCCACAGAAGGAGAAGTACTTCAGGAAGAGGATCAGTGATGAAGATCAAGCCAAGAGAATCATCTCCCACATTAAGACAGTGAGGAGCCTCCACATCATGTGCCACATTCCAGTCTTCTGCTGGATCTCAGCCACTGTTCTTCAGAGAATCATGAAACAGCCTCATACAGAAATCCCTAAAACTCTGACTGAAATGTACTCACACTTCCTGATCACTCAGACAAACATGAAGAACGAGAAGTATGAGGAGGAACATGAGAGAGACCCAAAGAACCTGCTGGAGTCCAACAGAACCGATCTTCTGAAACTGGCTGAGCTGGCTTTCAAACAGCTGATGAAGGGCAATGTGATGTTCTATGAAGAGGACCTGATAGAGAGCAGCATTGATGTCACTGAGGCCTCAGTGTATTCTGGGATTTTCACTGAGATCTTTAGGGAGGAATGTGTGCTTTACCAGAGGAAGGTCTACAGCTTTGTTCATCTGAGCTTTCAGGAGTTCCTGGCAGCTGTTTATGTGTTTCACTGCTATATGACTGACAACAATAAGGTACTGCGGATTTTTAAACCAGAGACGAAATGGAAGAGTGTTCCACTGTATGTCTTGATACAGGGAATTGTGGATAAAGCTCTTGAGAGTCAGAATGGACACCTAGACCTTTTCCTCCGTTTTCTGGTGGGCATCTCACTGGAGTCCAATCAGAGACTTCTATGGGGTCTCCTGGCAGATAATCACAGCAGCTCAGAGAAAACCATACAATACATCCAAGGGTTAATCACAAGCTCTCATTATAAAGTGACTTACACACAGAGCAGCTCAGAGAAAACCATAGAGCGCATCAAGGGCTTAATCAAAGAATCGGATAAATTTTCCCACAAACAGAGCAGCTCAGAGAAACCCTTGGAGTTAATCAAAGAGCATAATGATAAACAGACTCAAACAGAGAGCATCTCAAAGAAAACCATAGAGTCAATCAAGGATTTAATCAAAGAACATGATGAACTCAGCCACATACAGAACAGCTCAGAGAAAACCATGGAGTTCATCAAAGTGCATCATCATAAACAGACTCAAACAGAGAGCATCTCTGAGTTAATCAGTGAACAGGATTTTGAACAGATTTGCACACAGAGTAGCTCAGTAGGTTATTTAAAAGCTCCTGATGTAAAACTGACTCAAACACACAGCATCTCAGAGAAAATCATAGAGCACATCAAGGGCTTAATAATAAAATATGATACATTGACTCAAACACAGAGAATCTCAGAGAAAACCATAGAGTTAATCAAAGGGCCTGCTGATCAACAGACTCAAACAGAGAGCATCTCAAAGAAAACCATAGAGTCCATCGAGGATGTAATCAAAGAGCATGATAAACTGACCCACACACAGAGAAGCTCAGGGAAAACCATAGAGTTAATCAGAGAGTTAATCAAAGGATATGATGATAAAGTGATTCACACACGGAGCCCCTCAGAAGAAACCATAGATTGCATCAGAGACTTAATCAGAGGATATGATTATATGTTCATTCAGATAACAAACAGCACAGAGAAAACAATGAATTGCATCAATAAATTAATCAAGGAATATTACTATACACTGACTCAGGCAAAGAGCAGCTCAGAAATAACAATAGAAGACATCAAGAAATTAATCAAAGTGTATGATTATACATTGACTCTGGCACAGTGGAGCTCAAAGAAAACAATAAAGTACATCAAAAAATTAATCAAAGCAGAAGACAGACAATATCACATCTCAATTGAAAGATCTCTCAATCTTTTCCTCTGTCTGTCTGAAATGAATGATCAGTCTCTCTCCAGAGAAATTGAGGAGTATCTAAAATCAGAGAAATGCTCAGAAGAGAAGCTCTCTCCTGGACAGTGTTCAGCACTTGCCTGCATGCTCCTGATCTCAGAGCAGGTGCTGGATGAGCTGGACCTGAGGAAATACAACACATCAGAGGCAGGTTATAGGAGACTGATCCCAGCTGTGAATGTCTGCAGAAAAGCTCTGTGAGTGTTATATTTCAGTTTATATAAGGTTTGTTAGTATTTGAGTAAGACCACTGAGCTCAGAGCCCAAGAGCCCAATAGAAATAACAGAACAATTCAAAGATTTACTCTGATTTGTGAGATGGAGGTTTATTGGCATGCTCAAGTGATTTAATCCAGGTATATCATGGACAGTCAGTAAGGTGCTCTTTAGTAATACATTTAATAATTTCAATGTTCAAAGTTTAGGACACACCAAGGCACTCTTACATGTTATGATATAAACTTTAAATGGCATTTATTTACAGGGCAAATCCATTTAAAACTGTTAAAAAGGCTATGGTAGAAGAGTGAAAACTACCCATACATAGTGGCCATTGTTTTTATCAGGGTGCAATCTCAAACAATGAAAGGTGTATTTCAGCTTTTTGGACAACAGGTGACAATCATTCCATTTACCTACACAGCTGATTAACAGACTCCCACAAAGGGAATTTGTCAGAATAAGAGACCCAAAAAAGAAAACAAAGAAAAAAGCAAAACATTCCAAATTAGCATAAAATTCTGAGGCATACAGGAAAGGCCCAAAATCTACTTCCTGATTCAACCCAGGCAACTTAGTAGCCCTAAGCTTCCAATTCACAATGTTTCACTTTGAAGTAAAAGTCTACCTCAATGATGAAGGATTACTTTGATAACTTTGCTTGTAATGTTTTGCTATTAAAATACATTTACTCTAATTTACAAAAAGATATCACTCATCCTGCTTACAATGTTAGCTTGTAAAAGATCTCACTCTTCCTGCTTCTGATCAGTATGTTATAATAAATAATAATAATAATGATAAAAAACTTTATATAGCACCTTTCATACATTGAAATGCAGCTCAAACATAAGGAGAAGGCAGAAATTTAAAAATGGGGTAGGAATAAAAAACGAATGTAATAAAAATGAAAAAAAAAGTAGCAACATATGCAATAGTTTAGGACCATATATACTAAATGCTGTTAGCTTGATAAAAATCTCACTCAACCTGCTTCTGGTCAGAATGTTAACTCACTTGCCCTGCCACTGTGCACTGTATATATACATATATATATATATATATATATATATATATATATATATATATATATATAATCCAAACATTAAAACATACAAACACATTTTTTGTACAATTTACTATGTTTTATACAGCAGGCTTTTTGCATTTAGTGTACTTAATTTCCTGATACACTTTATTCCATTCCAATTTTCCTGATTAAAGTGTATCTTGTACTGTATTTGCTCTCACTTTACAGACTAGCTGGTTGTAATTTCACAGTGGATACCTGTGAAACTCTCTGCTCAGCTCTACAATCAGAAAACTCTCCCCTGAGAGAGCTGGACCTCAGTAATAATGATCTGCAGGATTTGGGAGTGGAGCTGCTCTCTGCTGGACTGAAGAGTTCACACTGTAAACTGGAGACACTCAGGTAATGTGTCTTGTGATTTTTAAATGATGAAAAAAGCTCAAAGGCACAAAATATGAATTAATTCCTGTCTCCCCTCCATGCTATCAGAACTGCATGGAATATCATTACCAGTGTTGTAATAACAATAATCAGATAACAGAGACCAAAGCCTGTGGTCTGTGTATATCTTGTTCAGGACCATTTTGCCAGTGCCATGTATTTATTATAATTAGACCATGAGACTGTTAATAATACTGTCAATAATAATAATAGTTCAATGCAAATTCACTTTTATTGTGGAAAAAAAAAGTTTACAGAAGGCAGAATGTGTTGTTTATTCACATGTAAGGAAAAAAGATTTACCTTTTTATGTGAATTAGTTAGGCTTCTGTAATTCATGGCAATGAATTTGTAATTCAATTTCATGGTAATTCCATTTATGACTAAACCTTAGCAATGATAGTGGCAAAAATCTGTTGATATTTCAGTTGTTTGATACATAAAACAAATTAGGGAAATACAAGAGACTAGACTAGAGTTAAAAACTTTTTCACTCAAAACAAATATATCAAACCAATAAAGATTCTTGTTTTCACCTCTTCTGTTGTAACTATGCTATACACTTATAATAACATGTTTATTAACCTTTTGTAGACTCTCAGCCTGTAATCTCACAAAGGACACCTGTAAAACTCTTTGCTCTGCTCTAAAATCAGTAAGGAATTTGGATCTCAGTAATAATGACCTGCAGGATTCAGGAGTGGAACTGCTCTCTGCTGATCTAAAGAGTTCACACTGTAAACTTGAGATACTCAGGTGAGCTTTATGTAATTCTTGAATGGATACACACATGGAGAAAGCATACATTATATGCAATAAACATTATATACATTAAACTGATAGTATTATTTAGAAATTATTTATTAATTTATTGAATATGAAAATTCATTTGAATCAACCATCTTGTTCTCAAAACAATATGACATTTTTTTATTTTGTTCAGGAAATAATTTAAGCATAAGATCTGCTGTGAATTTATGATAACTTATTATCATACCATAGACTGGCCTCATAATTGTGGAATTTTACTTTCTCCTGTACAAGTAGCATCTAATTAGAGAAGAAAGACAATTACTGTTATATTTTCAAACAGGTTTACCTTAATGAAGTATTAGGTTGAAACATTCAGTGTATTTAATCTAGATGCAATGTGATACATGGAGACTAACATCACTTGTTTTATATTTTCACATATTATTGCACAATATAAAGTATTTATTCTTTCTTTACAGACTGTCTGACTGTAATTTCACCACAAACTCCTGGGAAAAACTAGCTTCAGCTGTACAATCAGTCAACGCCTCCTTGAAAGAGCTGGACCTCAGTAACAATTATCTGCAGGATTCAGGAGTGGAGCTGCTCTCTGCTGGACTGAAGAGTTCACACTGTAAACTGGAGACACTCAGGTGAACTTCCTGTGAATTTAATCTTGACTGAAAAAAGCTAAGATGAAAATACATATTAAACTGTAAATAAAGTGTAACCATGATAGTAATATGTAAAAACACAGAATGTGAGTTTCTGAACTACATGATATAGACCATGGTTGCCCAAAGTCTTGGTGGGCAACAGTGCAGTGTTTATGGTGGGCCGAGGGCCAAAAAGGTATATAAATGAAGTTGGGTAAGTTTAAAATGTTTTAGAGGTTTTTTAATATGTGAACAGAAGTCTAACTAATCTCTCCTTTAAGCAATTAGCAAAATACAATACTGTCAAAGCACCATTTACTGTTGTGCAAAATAAAAGGAAATGAAATACTATCACTACTTACATTAGATCTGCAAACATATTTTGTGCACTAAACTGCTGAGAAACAGTCAGCATTGCCTCAACAGCTTTTCATAATGACTACAAAAACAAAGGTGTACATGTATGTATATATATATATATATATATATATATATATATATACACACACACAAACACACACACAAACACACACGCACATATATATATATATATATATATATATATATATATATATATGTATATATATATACATATATGTAGAAATTACTGCCCACTTAAAACACAATGCTGAGTGTGAGAGCAATCATGTTTAGCCTAATTGTTAAGTTACTTGTCTCCTGCGTTAGTGAGAAGTTAAATCCTAGCATAAATAAACACTCATTAGGCTTCTAACAGTTTGTGCTGGCAATGTAATGACATCTCGTTGGTGTTACATGTAAGGTAATTTCTTTTGCCATTGCAGCTCTAACAATGTGTTTTGGCAGAAATTCATATCACGATAGTGATAAAAATACAAATAATTAAACAGCTATCTATAACACACTTATATACATTTTAATGCACAATTACCATTCATTAACATATTTGGAAAATATGGGGTGGCAAGATCATCACTGCTGCCGCAGTGTTGGATGCTTCAAAAGAAGCATAGACATTGTTTAAAGCAACTGGAAGCATGCACTGGTTTAGGCAAGGTGATTCATATCTTACAGACAGTGGCAGTTTGAATGCCCTACCACATACATTGTGGGTTCTTTGTTGTGAAGTGTTCCTGTATTTTCAGTGAATATGAAGCCTTGGCACTGTTGATGCCAGTGGAGAGGCTATTTCTAGCTGCCCTGAGTGCCACTGTCACCCACCCTGAATGCATCTTTGCAAGCTTTGAGCAGGGAGTGGACCTCGGCGTTCAGCCAGGGCTTCTGCTTGGGCTGTGTAGTGACAGTTCTTGTGATCACTATGCTGTCCACAAACATCCTGATATAGTCAGTGACAGAAAATCAAGTCACCAAGGCTATAAGATCCCCACATGTAGCAGCGTCCTTAAACATGCTCTGGCCATAAAGCTGCTCCTTTCAGCCACACTGATGGTTTTTAGAACTGTTTTTTTTTTCTTTTTAGCAGTTGTTGGTAATCAGGGAACCTCTCAGGATGTTTGTTTTGAAGTAAGCTAACTGCATAATAGAGCATCCCAGTACATCCTTAGTGATGGCATTTGGTGTGATGTAAACACAGAGAATAAAGATGGTAGAAAGTTTTCAGTAAATAATGGGGCTGGCATATTATTGTTATGTATTCCTCTGCTGCAGAACAGTGGCTAGAAACAACTGAGGTGTTCATACACCAACCTTTGTTCATGTAGGTGCACAGTCTGCGTCCTCTGGTTTTCCCAGATCATACGTGCCTGTCAGCACAGAAGCAGGTTAGTCCATCCAGTATAAAAAGTAGCAGTCCTGTCCATCTGGTAGTACAAAAAAGAACAAGTACAAAGAAGAAGTACAAACTCAATTCCAAAAATGTTCGGGACAGTAGGTAAGATGCAAATAAAAAACAGAAAGCAATGATTTATCTATTATATTTTGACATGCCTTTGAATGAAAACACTACAGAGACAAGATATTTAATTTTTTATTTTATAAACTTCATTGTTTTTTGTAAACATATGCTCATTCTAAAATGGATGCCTGCAACACATTCCAAAAATATTTTTGAAAAATGTTCAAACATCTCAAGCAGATGATACAATCATACTTGGATGTGAAAGGAACATCTATGAAAGGCCTATTTCTTTGTGATCAAGGATAGTTTGACCACCTTGCTAAAATACATCTGCATAAAATTCAGCAGTTTAAAAATAAAGTTCTTTAACACACTCACTATTGTGCATAATTTAAAAATCACAACTGAGTACAGCTAATCTTCGATCCCATCCCGCAGATCGCACTACACTAAAAACTGGCACGGTTTTGTGAAGAAGGATTACCGCATGGGCTTGGGAATACTTTGACAAACGAGTGTCAATAAACTTCACAAACACAAATTAAGACTTTACTGTACAGTGAAGGTCTTATGTCATCAGCATCCAGAAATGCTGCTGAATTCTCTGGGCTTGAGCTCATCTGAGACAGACTGATGGACAGTGGAAATGTGTTTTGTGGTATGAGTCAGACTTTCAGTTTGGAAGTTGTGTTCTCCAGGCCAAAGAAAACAAGAATCTTCCAGATTGTTAACATATAATTCGGAAGCCAGTGTTTGTCATGGTATTAGTGGATAATATACAGATCTGTGAAGGCACCTTTAATGCTGACCTCATTTTGAAGCAACATATGCTGCCTTCTAGATAATGTCTTTTCAGGGACATCCTTGCTTGCTTGAAACATGACACTGGTGTACCACATTCTGTATGTGTTACAGCAGCATGGCTGTGTAATCAGAGAAAGTAGGTCCTAAACTGACCTGCCTGCAGCCCAGAATTGTTTCCCATGGAAAATGTGGTGCATTATGAGGCTTGAATATGACACAAATGAACAAAGGCTTGTATTGTTGCACAACTGAAGACTTGTATAGCAGAAGAATGGCAAAACAATTCCACTTCTGAAACTGGATGAGTTTGTGTCTTCAGTCTACAAAAGATTATTGTGTTATTAAAATTAAAAGTGATGTAACACCAAAAATCCTTCAAGTATATTTGAATAATCTTTAATAATAACTTTTATGTATAGAGCACTTTTTATACTGGTGGCAGCCCAAAGTTCTTTACAGGCAGGTGATAAAGTCTGTCTGTAAAGATAGAATTTTAATTAGTGCTATATTAAATAGATACATTTTCAAAAAGTGTGCACTGAGATTGACTGTTTAATAAAAGGTGGAAAATGGTTCTACAGTTTAGAAGTGTTATAACAAAGAGAGCTTCCCATGTTTTCTGTATTTTACTGAAAGTATTTGCAGAAGGCCAGTATCTACAGAACTAAGATACATAGGTGCTAGGTAATTGAAAGCCTTAAAGTCTATCCTAAAATATACAGGTAGCCAGTGCAGCTTTCCGTTTTTGTTGTTGTTAAGGTACTGCTGCATTTTGTTTGAGTTGTAAGTGGACATATTGTTTTCTTGGGAAGCCAAATAAGAAGAACATTGCAGTAGTCAACTTTGCTTGTAACAAATTAAATCAGAAGACTGGTGAACTTGAGCGGGGACAGGTGGATCTGCGTGAGTCCTGAGTCACGTGATGCAGTGAGGGGTTCTGGGAAATGCAGTCCTGAGCTGCCAGGTTGGCTGTAGGCTCAGCCATGTCCAAAGGACGCATGGCACTGAGCTACACTTTGCCTTATCAAGGTTATTTTATTTTGAAAATGAATTATAAATTTAATATTGTAAAGTCCACAGTAATTTCTCTCCCTCTGCAGACTAGCTACCTGTAACCTTGGGGAAAAGGTTTGTGAAAATCTGGGATCAGTTCTGCAGTCAGTAAACTCACCCTTGAAAGAGCTGGATCTCAGCAACAACAAACTACAGGATTCAGGAGTGGAGCTACTCTCTGCTGGGCTAAAGAGTCCACAGTGTAAACTGGAGATACTCAGGTGAACTTTTTGTAAAGCCATTTTTGACTAGAAAAAAACTGAGAAGAAATTTCTTCTTAAGAAAGGTCTTAAGAGAAAGTCTATGCCAGATTTGTGATGTGTTCCTAAACTTTTGTGCTTGTGAGAGTGCATAGATTCTGTTCTTACCTAAAAACAAATCCCAAATAAAACATTGGTTAATGTCAGAATATTTGTAAAAACTGTGACAGTGGGTTTTAGAAGAAATTTGTTCTAAACAAGTTGATCAGTGAAGCCCAATAACTGTATAGTTGAGATAGTAACATTAATTATGTATGTTTCCACATTTCCTTTTGGTTTATGTTCTACTATATTGTCAATTCTACTGTATACTTCATCTCAGTCATATACAATTACACAAAAATGAGTAGGTGTTTCCTAAACAATCTTACATTTTTCTCTTATTCAATTCCAAAATATATATTTGCATATATCATAAGATCAGTTGTAATTTGTCTCCCCTTGCAGATTAGCTTTCTGTTATTTTGGAGGAAAATGTTGTGAAACACTGGGATCAGCTATACAGTCAGTAAACTCCTCCCTGAAAGAGTTGGATCTCAGTAACAATGACCTGAAGGATCTAGGAGTGGAACTGCTCTCCACAGGACTGAAGAGTTTGTACTGTAAACTGGAGACACTCAGGTGATAATTAGATATTTTTATATAATATTATAAATGATAGTCTTTGGTATTCAGTGACATTCAGATATGAAAAAAATAACGCTGTATGTAAACTAGTTCCTTCCTTTTTCTTTCTTTTCTGCAGATTGTCTGGTTGTATGGTCACAGATGAAGGTTGTTCTTGTCTGGCTTCAGCTCTGAAATCAAACCCTTCTCACCTGAGAGAACTGGATCTAACCTATAATCACTCAGGAGAGTCCGGAGTGAAGCTGCTCTCTGATCTACTGGAAGATCCACATTGCACACTGGAGAAACTACAGTGAGCTACTGACTTTACTGTCTTTTTACGCAAACACACTAGAGCTTGAAATATTTGGTTGCTCACATTGGTCAATTTTGAACAGGTTCAGACATGAATTTGTAAATGTGTATGTTTGTGTTTGTATTTTCTTTTTCAGCCTGGAGCATAGTGAGACAATTAGGATGAAACCAGGACTGAGGAAATGTAAGTTCATTGTATTCAGTGTAAAGTTCACACATAATATTTATAGTGCTTTTTTCAATCACGGCTGTCACAGGGCATCTTTTCAGGGATTATATCAGAACCCAGATTTAGGAATTAAGTGGTAAAAACACAAGTTTGTGTTCATGTGGAGACAGAGTTAGTGAACAGTTAGAGTTGTTAGAGAGGATTAGAAACGCATGTTAATTTTAATAAAGGATATGGAAAATCTGGAGGCATTGTTCATGTCTCTTTGGAAATCCTGCTGTGCTGGTGAAACAGGATGCAATAAGATCTAGCAGAAGCAGGAACAACAAAAAAGCAGAGATAAGAAAGTAGACATTACAGCAGTGGTCACCAGCCCTGGTCCTAGAAATAAACCTTCCTGTGGAGTCTAGTTCCATCCATAATCTGCCACACCTGCTCCAGTTAGTCCTTGTTTGGCCGGATAATCTCCGGGAGGAGACCTGGTGACCACTGCATTAGAGAACATATAGTTAATTTAAATGGAAGAACAAAATTCTGATGGTATTATCTATGTAACTACATTTTCTTGCTTTTTATGAATAAAAAAGTTTGATGTAAACATTGTTAAATTTTCAAGATGTACCATAAACTCCCCAGATCATATATGAAAACTATACTGAAATTACAGCTCCTTTTGATCTCCTTGTTTTTTTAGTTATGAGAACTGAATAATTTACATATATATGCTCATTCTGCCAACATAAGTTTAGCCCCACACTGTCATGCTGAAGTTATAAGGATTGTTTCAGCCAGGACAGGACAACCAATCACAACAGAGCTCATTTACATATATCAGTCTTAAAGGCAAGGCAAGTTTAATTGTATAGTACCTTTTATACACTGCTGTCTTTCAAAGTGCTTTACAGAAAATAGAGTTGTGTAAACACGAATAGAAAAACAATTGAAAATAACATTAAAAACTTAATTAAAATGATTGAAATTTATTGTTTTAAAGAGAAAATCATTAAATTAAATATCCAATTAGAAATTAAATTAGGACTTAAGTAATCATATTAAAAATTAGGAGTTAGATTAGGATAAGAAAAAAAGCTGTTACAGAGGAAAAGGGGCTAGAAATGCTAACAGTGTATAAACTGAGCTGCAAGGTGCTCAAATAGGAATGTTTTGAGCCTGGATTTAAAAGTGTTGGGGCTCTTCTAATGCTCTCTGTTAACTGGGTCCATTTAAGAGCAGCGTAATAGCTAAATGCTAAATGCTACTTCTCCATGTTTAGTCTTCACCTTCAGCAGGACTAACTGATTAGTTCCTAATGATCTGAGGGTTCTGCTTGGTCATCAGTAACAAAAAACAGCCAGTTTAATTGTAAGTGATAAAGAGATGGAAAATTGAAATTGGAAAATTATCATGTAAAAGTTAATTATGACAGTTGATGAATAAAATGCAAGAACACTGTTGGATTTGGGCTTTTTCAGAGAAAGTTGTCATTCAATGCACACACCATTTATTTTATCTACTCTAATCTGTGTTTTCGGTACAGATGCCTGTGAGCTCACTCTGGACCCACACACAGCACACACACGTCTGTGTTTGTCTGAGGAGAACAGAAAGGTGGAGTGTGTGAAGAAACATCAGCCGTATCCAGATCATCCAGACCGATTTAATCACTATGAGCAGGTTCTGTGTAGAGAAGGTCTGACTGGACGCTGTTACTGGGAAGCTGAATGGAGTGGGGTGGGGGCTGATATAGTAGTTACATATAAAGACATCAGCAGGAAAGGAGACAGTGATGACTGTTGGTTTGGATGCAGTAATCAGTCCTGGAGTCTGTACTGCTCTGAGAGTGGTCATTCTTTCAGCCACAATAAGAAGAAAACTGCTGTACCAGCCTCCTGCTTCAGTTCGCACAGGGTAGGAGTGTATCTGGACTGGGAGGCCGGCACTCTGTCCTTCTACAGCGTCTCACCTGACACACACACACTGACCCACCTACACACAGTCCACTCCACATTCTTTGAGCCACTCTATGCAGGGTTCTGGGTTGGTTCTTTCTCCTCAGTTTGTGTCTGTGAGGTAAAATAGTTTACGGTGTGCTGGGTTTTTACAGAATTTTCTAGTTATAACTTGTCATGCTGCAAACCTAGCAGAGCAAATTTAAGTCAGATTCAAAACATGTAGCTCATGTTACATATTATCTTATGGTATTATGTATTTTGTGTATTACATTGTTATGCATGTATTATTTTGTGTATGCATTTTATGTATTACTTTTTTGTATAATACAGAAGAGAATATGCAAACATATCCTATTCACCAGGTTGGGAGGGTTACTTTAAAAGTGTATTCCGTTACATATTACTGATTATCTGTTACACATTTTAAATTGTAACCTAATCCAAAGGATTACTATATTAAAGTAACGTAATCTGATTACTTTTTGTTATTTTTGCATTACTTGTCGTTTAAAATCCACATATTCAACTAAAGGCAAAAGAAATTTATTCAGATAACTTTCAGCTAATGTGTAAAGTTACATAAAACAGTCCTTCATCTACATGAATATATCATGTGTTTGCATGAAACAGTCCTGTGTCTACATGATATTTGAAAGAATCTTGTATCTACACAAAACACATCAAGCAATATTGAGTCCATGTGACATGAAACAATCTCCTGTGTGCATGAAACACATGAAATAACCTAGTGTCCACATGAAAGAAATCGTGTCCACAGCGCAGTACAAGATAAAAAGAGAGTTTAAAATGTCAACGAAAAAATTAAAAAGGCCCTTTTTGACATCAAATGTAGGTAATTTTAGTAAATGTATATTCAATAATATCATGCTTGTATTTAACCTGTTAAAGTATTGCAGCACTACTCATGTTTCATTCCAAAATTTTGAAAGGAAACGAACGGGTTAAATTCCTGAAATGCCAAGCACCAATCAGGATTTTTATTTTTCTGTGATATCTATTTAGATAGGAGTTAAGCAAACTCCTAACTTGGTTAGACTTTCTAGAGCTGTACTGAAGTCCCAAGGTGTTAGGTTAACCATCAGCATAATTGCAAAGTGGCAGCAGAATCAGCCAGTCATGTTTTAATTTTTTAAAGGCAGGACCAATTTTTGTGAGAAAAAAACTATACCAATTTTCTGTTTCACGTTAAATGCTGCAGTAGTTACATACTGGTCCCCAAATGCAAGGTAGAATGGAAAATTCAAATAAGAAGCCAATTTCAACCTAGTCAGAAAGTGTTCATGTGAATTGACATTACCTTAGTGCTAACAAACTACTAAAATAACAGTTAGTATTATTATTGTGGTGGGTTTGTTCATGTTTTGAAGAAGTTCCAACATTTATGACCCAAACTGAAGGCCTAGGTCACGGTTCACCACTGTAATTGTGCATTTGTATACTTGCTGCATGTGGTACATACATACAGCAAGTAGAGATTTAGAAATTGATTATTTTTATTTACAGAATATTGCAATGGGATTCACACAGCAGTGGTGCAGCACTTTCTTTTACATGAAACAGGGATACAGCCTAGTATTTAGGGAATTAATAGCTCCTTGATAACCTTACAAGCTCCAGTCCATGAATTGCCTCACTATGAAGGAGGAGGAGAAGAAGAAGAAGAAGTACATTCTTTCTCTGGCCTTTTATATTTCAGCTATAACAGACAGTTTCAATCTTTACTATTTCTGGACATTTTGCAACATTTTTATTGGCATTGGATGACTTTATTTACAGCATTCAGAAACCAGGGGCGTAACTACAGGTGGGGGGACAGTAGCTATGGCCCTTATTTCTGAATGCTGATAATTGCATAGTTATATAAGTTCATTTTATGTAATTTGATCTGTGTGTAGGCACTATCCACAACTAGTCAACTGCTGCCCACACATTTATTATTATTACAATTATTACAAATATTTTTTTTGGTGAATGATTTCCCAGTGAAACCAAAAACTATCTATTAATTAAAATGATTTAAACTATTCTAAAATTGTGCCTGTGATTAACACTGTGATTAACAAAAGCTGCACAAATATCCAATAAATCCAGAACAGAAGGATTTTGTGCATCAGCGCTGAGCCTGAGGTCATTCACACCATGAAACAATGCTGTCTCAGTACTATGGTTAGAATGAAAACCTGAACTCAATCAAAAAACATCTGGTGTGTGGGCAAAAGTGGGTTGCACAAATGAAGAGGTAGCAACAACTGTGACACACATGGTTTGTGAGAAGGGTTTTTGTCTTCTTACACTCAATTTACTTCAATAAAAGGTTAGGTTTCTTTGATATATTATGATGTATCTACCACAAAAAATACATGGCAGTTTTATTAAGGATGGCAATAATTATGGAACTGACTAACACAAAAATGATTACAATCTTGACAAATCATGGCAAAAAATTAGAAAAGAAAAATATGACTTTTGATAACAAGTGCACAACTTACAACAGTCAGCCTTCATATCCCTCAGCCCCACTGTCCTATTACTGTCAATTAATATGAAAAAAAACAAGAAAATAGATTTTACAGTTATAATGACACATTGAGAATTCAGGCATGAGGAGCATCACTTACTCATATGCTCTGTGCAGTAGTATTTTTTTTTCTCTCAACCTTCTTTCTTCTCTCTCCCCTGAGTCAGGTTTATATACAGACATGTCAACATTTTTACTTAAGAAGTGAAGTAATTTAAAGTTAATCAGATCACTGATCCATGTCTTTCTCCATAGGAAATCAAAATACTTATAAAAGTTATGAAACAGACTGTTAGGCGATTAGAACGTAAATGGCGTCAGACTAAACTTGAGGTTTTCCATTCTGCCTGGAAGGAGAGTCTTATAGACTATAGAAAAGCACTAAAGTCAGCACGTTCAGCCTATCTCTCGTCATTGATTGAAAATAACAAGAATAATCCTAGACTACTATTCAGTACTATCTCTAAATTAACTAATAATCAAGCAGCTACTGAAGCCCAGATACCATCAGCATACAGCAGCATTGACTTCATGAACTTCTTCAATAATAAAATTGAATTGATTAGGCACAAAATTCAAAATGCGCAGCATTGCAGTGCAGCGTCCTATAAACCTAATCTAGATCTAGAGTGCAGTATAACCACTACAGAGACGCTGGAGTCTTTTACTTTACTCCAACAAACAGAGCTCGTCCAAATTATTTCATCTTCAAAAACAACAACTTGTATACTAGATCCTATTCCTACAGGTTTACTTAAATATGTTTTGCCAGAAATAACTAAGCCCTTTCTAATTATAATAAACTCTTCTCTCAGCCTCGGGTATGTTCCAAAATCTCTTAAATTAGGTGTAATTAAACCCTTAATAAAGAAACCCAGTCTTGACCCCTCTGAGCTATCAAACTATAGATCTATTTCAAATCTTCCCTTTTTATCAAAAATTTTAGAGAAAGCCGTGGCAAAACAATTATGTTCCCATCTGCATAGGAGTGATATATATGAAAAATTTCAGTCTGGCTTCAGGCCTCACCATAGTACCAAAACAGCATTAGTGAAAATTGTGAATGATCTTTTATTATCCGCTGACAAAGGAAACATATCCTTACTGGTTTTACTCAATGTTAGTGTAGCTTTTGACACAATAGACCATTCCATTCTATTAGACAGGCTTGAGAAACTAGTAGGAGTGACAGGTAAAGCTCTTTCGTGGTTCAAATCTTACCTTAGTGATCGCTTTGAGTCTGTTAATGTAAATGGTGAACAATCAGCTCTCACAAGAGTAAAGTATGGTGTTCCACAGGGCTCTGTCTTAGGACCCATGTTATTTACCTTATATATGCTACCACTAGGTACCATCATTAGAAAACATGGCATCAGTTTCCACTGCTATGCCGATGATACACAATTGTATATTTCAGCTAAACCAGAGGACAAAACTGAACTTAATAAGATAGAGGACTGTGTAAAAGACATTAAAGACTGGATGTCAAGCAACTTCCTTTTACTAAATTCAGACAAAACCGAAGTCCTTCTTCTTGGTCCAAAAGCTGCTAGGGATAATCTGCCTACGTTTACTCTTAATCTCGATAGTTTCTCAATTGCACCAGGCACATCTGTAAAAAGTCTTGGTGTCACGATTGATCCCAGTCTGGCCTTCGATGAGCATATTACCAACATTACCAGAATAGCTTTCCTCCACCTGCGTAACATCGCTAAATTAAGAAATCCACTGTCGCTACAGGACGCAGAAACGTTAGTTCACGCCTTCATCACGTCCAGGTTAGATTACTGTAACGCTCTGCTTTCTGGCTGTTCCAGCCAAAACCTTAACAAGCTTCAGTTAGTCCAGAATGCTGCAGCCAGAGTTCTCAGCAAAACCAGGAAATTTGACCACATTAGCCCAATTTTGTGTACCTTACATTGGTTGCCAGTTAAATTCCGCATTGAGTACAAGATTCTTCTGCTGACGTATAAAGCTTCGAATAGCCTTGCTCCTCAGTACCTCAGTGACCTTATTTCCTATTATCAACCGACACGCCCACTTAGATCACAAGGTGCTGCTCATTATTAGTACCCAGAATAAATAAAGTTACGTCAGGGGGAGGAGCCTTTTCATACAAAGCCCCCCAGCTTTGGAATAGCCTACCAGTCTGTGTTCGGGACTCAGACACAGCCTCCATCTTTAAGTCTAGGCTAAAAACTTACCTTTTTAGTCAAGCCTTTGATTAATTTGTTTTCCTAACTATGTCCCTCTCATCCCCTTGTGAAGAATACAGAGAGAGAGAGAAAGGCATGATCTACATTTACTTGAACAGTTTATTATGGTAAACGTACAATAAAGTTTGAACACCCCAAGTCAAACTGTATGTTTTGACTAATTTTTTGTAAATGCAAATAGGTTAACATCCTCTTTAGAGAACAAACATAAATATGGCACTGTTCTGCAGATTTTTAGCACATGATTTATTAAATGTTTGTATTTATTTATTTAAAATGTATGCATTTGTTATACAAATTTAATATTTGCTGGGTTTAACACTGGAAAAAAATAAAACAAAATATAAAATGTGTCATAACTTTTGTAGAGATTACATTTTACTTTTTTTCAATATGTTAAATTTTAGCATATAAACACTAAATGTGCATTAAAGTGTGTTCTCTGTAGACAAGGTGTAGAAAATCAATAAAAATAACCAAACTTTTGCATGCAAATGTATATATCTAGATTGCACTGATTTACACAGTGCAATTAGCATCAACAAAAATGCATGCACATACTGAGTCACAATAAACCCTATACCTTACATAGAGGCTATTCTACTTTACACAGAGACACAAAGGTCCCAAAGCCACCCATCAGCCCTGCATAGAGCGGCTCAGTGAATGTGGTGTGGACTGTGTGTAGGTGGGTCAATGTTTGTGCATCAAGGGAGACTTT